GTTCCGCTGGAAGTACTGTGACCAATGAAATAGTGAGAGACTTTAAGGAAGGCTATAAATATCTGGGAAATTCTTTTTTTTTTTTTAATGAATTGAGTTTTCAAAACTTGCTTTTGACTTCTAAAGAATTTGGCTTCTCATATTCTGAATCAAGTATACCAGCTCAAGATTGTTCTAATCTTGCCAAGCCAAGCCAATGAGTAATCATGGGAACCCTATAAAGAAGCAAAGATAATGTTGCCTTGTGGATATAATGCTTTATTTTTAATATAAAACTAAGTTAACTCTGGGAGGAAGAACAAAATTACTATCCTTTCTGTGTTTCCAATGACCTCATCTATCCCCTTGTTTATCAGTCTTTCTGCCCTTTTGAGTAGTGACCACATCTTTGATTAAACTGAATTCAATCCCACTCATAGCTCAATGTTAGAGGTACAACAGTGAGTAAAATCCTGAGTACAATGGAAAGGAATAGAGAGTGGGTAAAAAGTAGTCATATTAATCCACCTGCTGCATGGAGAATGTACTGAAGAAGGGCATGTAGAGCAGGTACCATACTATTGCAGCAGTCTACATACGGCATGGTCATGGCTTGGACTGGAGAGGTAGAATTGGTGATAGAATTGGAATTGAAAAATACTTCATGAGTTAAATTGTAAAACATTATGATGGGTTGGATATGGGGAAGAAAGATGGGGGAGAATACTGGATGTGGGCCGTGCCAGGAGTGGAGAAAATGAGGATAAGAATAATAATTTGGCTTGGGACATTTGAGACATACTGCATCTTTTTTACCGTTATATGCTAGACTCAATGCACACAGTCATATCCAGTAAAAGGTAAATAAATGGGTGAATTAGTGAGGGTAGACCCATATCCTTATATATTTATACATATGTGTGTTTATAAATATACATGAAATCACCAATATAATGCATCATGATGGGAAAACATGAACAAAACTCTACATTTCTCAACATAGCTACACTCCTAATTTAACCCAGAGGAGTATTTCATTGTGGAGCTCTTCTCCATTAAGATTTATATTGTTTTTTGACTTTCTCAACAAAGTGATAAAACTGAATTCTCTTTGCTTCTTGTCTTTTTGAAAATAGTTTGTTTACTGTCATTTGACCAAAGGTTTATATGTGGAGTTTACTTCTTACATTGCCTGTACTCTAATAGGTCATGATAAGCACTTAATTTTGAGTTTTGGGGTGCAAAAATTTCTGAGCATTTGTTTTTCAACCAATACTTTTTAGAATTTCCTTCTCGTTGCAAGGGAATGTGTATTTTTGTTTCAGGAACCTTTAAAGAAGCTTCTTTGATAAATCTGCAAGCCCAGTAACTAATACAAAGATCAGGAAATTTGACAGATCTCTCTCCCTGTCTCCTCATATACACTCATTCTCTGTCTCTCATGAATTCTCTTTTAAACAAAAAATAAACTTAAGAACTATACCAAATATATTTAACCAGGTTTGGAAAAGAATGTTAATTCTTTAGCTCTGTCTATGCTGGCAAATGATTGAGATTTTGTGGTAATGACTTGAATACTACATTAACAAAACTCCTGATTTGAAGACCAAGGTCCTCATTTCCCACTGAATTATGTGCACGTTCTTTGGCATTCATTTAAAATGTTCCACAGCATGCCCCCAAGCAACTTTTCTATCTTTATCCTAGTCTAATCCTCTCTACAATCTTGTCCTCCAGTCAAACTATACTGTTTATCATTCCTTATTTTTCCCAATACTGTTCTTTAGACCTGAAATCTTTTGCTCTATTACCAGATCACTTCCTTTCTTGCTTGTCATTTCCTGCCCATCTTCTATTCAGAACTCACAAAATTTTGATTACTTTTCTGTCAAGGCAAAAAAAGATGTGATAACTGTATCACCTCAAACTCAAGGAGCCATTAATCAATGGTAATATGGTACCAAAAACCAGTTAGTGTTAATGTGTGAGTAGTACAAAATAGCAAAAATGGAAAAGCAAAAATGCAAACCAAACAGCAGCAAAACATCAGCAATGTTTTAGCTACTGATATAACATTTCCTGTTGATATAATAGAGGGTGGCTATTTTAAGTCACTTTCACTTTAAGACCAACTTTACTTTGGTCTATTTGCAAATCCAAACAAAAATGATAGGTTACAACTGGTTATAGGTTTGGACACTGATTTATTTAAGAATCTGAGGAAGAATCTAAAACAACTTCAAAAGCTGTTTTAGAGTAAGAGGGGTTATCTACAGAAATTCTTTGGAAGTTGTCCCTCTTGAATTTACAGTCCCATATTTATGTTCCCTTTGTGATCTAAGTGGAAATGATCCATCTTCTATTCCAATTACTGGTCAATATGTCAGTCAGATCAAATGCCACTAATAAGATTCTAAAAACATGCTTTTGAGGAACAGGGGATTTCTTTGGAAGACACAAAGTGCTTTTTAATCCATTTTTCTTAGTTGTTAAAGGCATTATAATTCTTACAAATTGTTCTATCATGGTGTGTTTTTATCCTTTATGAGAAGGGAAAACATACTATGGAATTCTGAAATATAAGAATCGAGTCTACATAGCCTCCTTCATAGTGGCTCTACCCCAAATCTTCCCTAAAAACACAGTTCCGCTGGAAGTACTGTGACCAATGAAATAGTGAGAGACTTTAAGGAAGGCTATAAATATCTGGGAAATTCTTTTTTTTTTTTTAATGAATTGAGTTTTCAAAACTTGCTTTTGACTTCTAAAGAATTTGGCTTCTCATATTCTGAATCAAGTATACCAGCTCAAGATTGTTCTAATCTTGCCAAGCCAAGCCAATGAGTAATCATGGGAACCCTATAAAGAAGCAAAGATAATGTTGCCTTGTGGATATAATGCTTTATTTTTAATATAAAACTAAGTTAACTCTGGGAGGAAGAACAAAATTACTATCCTTTCTGTGTTTCCAATGACCTCATCTATCCCCTTGTTTATCAGTCTTTCTGCCCTTTTGAGTAGTGACCACATCTTTGATTAAACTGAATTCAATCCCACTCATAGCTCAATGTTAGAGGTACAACAGTGAGTAAAATCCTGAGTACAATGGAAAGGAATAGAGAGTGGGTAAAAAGTAGTCATATTAATCCACCTGCTGCATGGAGAATGTACTGAAGAAGGGCATGTAGAGCAGGTACCATACTATTGCAGCAGTCTACATACGGCATGGTCATGGCTTGGACTGGAGAGGTAGAATTGGTGATAGAATTGGAATTGAAAAATACTTCATGAGTTAAATTGTAAAACATTATGATGGGTTGGATATGGGGAAGAAAGATGGGGGAGAATACTGGATGTGGGCCGTGCCAGGAGTGGAGAAAATGAGGATAAGAATAATAATTTGGCTTGGGACATTTGAGACATACTGCATCTTTTTTACCGTTATATGCTAGACTCAATGCACACAGTCATATCCAGTAAAAGGTAAATAAATGGGTGAATTAGTGAGGGTAGACCCATATCCTTATATATTTATACATATGTGTGTTTATAAATATACATGAAATCACCAATATAATGCATCATGATGGGAAAACATGAACAAAACTCTACATTTCTCAACATAGCTACACTCCTAATTTAACCCAGAGGAGTATTTCATTGTGGAGCTCTTCTCCATTAAGATTTATATTGTTTTTTGACTTTCTCAACAAAGTGATAAAACTGAATTCTCTTTGCTTCTTGTCTTTTTGAAAATAGTTTGTTTACTGTCATTTGACCAAAGGTTTATATGTGGAGTTTACTTCTTACATTGCCTGTACTCTAATAGGTCATGATAAGCACTTAATTTTGAGTTTTGGGGTGCAAAAATTTCTGAGCATTTGTTTTTCAACCAATACTTTTTAGAATTTCCTTCTCGTTGCAAGGGAATGTGTATTTTTGTTTCAGGAACCTTTAAAGAAGCTTCTTTGATAAATCTGCAAGCCCAGTAACTAATACAAAGATCAGGAAATTTGACAGATCTCTCTCCCTGTCTCCTCATATACACTCATTCTCTGTCTCTCATGAATTCTCTTTTAAACAAAAAATAAACTTAAGAACTATACCAAATATATTTAACCAGGTTTGGAAAAGAATGTTAATTCTTTAGCTCTGTCTATGCTGGCAAATGATTGAGATTTTGTGGTAATGACTTGAATACTACATTAACAAAACTCCTGATTTGAAGACCAAGGTCCTCATTTCCCACTGAATTATGTGCACGTTCTTTGGCATTCATTTAAAATGTTCCACAGCATGCCCCCAAGCAACTTTTCTATCTTTATCCTAGTCTAGTCCTCTCTACAATCTTGTCCTCCAGTCAAACTATACTGTTTATCATTCCTTATTTTTCCCAATACTGTTCTTTAGACCTGAAATCTTTTGCTCTATTACCAGATCACTTCCTTTCTTGCTTGTCATTTCCTGCCCATCTTCTATTCAGAACTCACAAAATTTTGATTACTTTTCTGTCAAGGCCTGTTTCAAATGCTAGCAGTGCTTTCTTATTCTTAAAGCTTTTTTAATAGTTT